TAATGTGCCAGACTGCAAAGCCATTTGAACTGCAAGGTTGGTGGTTCAAGCTCACCAGCTGCTCCTTGGAAACCCTATACAGGGTCGCTATGGATTGGAACTGACTCAATGGCACTTCACAACACAACAACAGCAAAGCACAAGGAGAGGAAGGAAGAACAGAACTCATGGAGTCAGAATTAGTGGACGATTGTAACCTAAAGGTACAATTTGTTGTTGTTAAGTGCTGTAAAGTCAGTTCTGACTCATAGTAACCCTGTAAAGGGTTTCTAAGGTGTGGTTGGTGGGTTTGAACCACTGGCCTTGTTAAAAGTATAGTGTTTACCCTGAAAAGTTAACTACGGTTTCAAACTAAGTAAATTGTTGTTGGGTAAATGTTGGGAGCGATTTGAGCCGGAGGTCTCAGACTTGGGGGCAGTTTAACCGAAGGATTGCAACAGCTGTAGTCCAGAAAATCGGGTTGCTCCTAAGTCAGGCTGCCCCCTGAGGAACTTGCAAAGCCTGCCTCAGGGAACAAGGAATTTGAAAAGTCTTTCCTTGTATGCAGCCATGGCCTTCAGTTCAGTCTGCAAAAATATTTAACTGCCCTATGTCTGTTTCCCTACAATCCAACTACATTCTTCTGATAAAGTCCCACTCACTGCTTGCATTCAATACACCAAATGTTTTTTTAGCACTGTTTTCCCTGCCCCAGCACTCTCCTTTGATTTGTGTATATAATAAACGTGCTCAACCTAGGTCTAAGTCACAGTATCTCTATCAGAGTGCTGTGTCCCACCTGGTCCCAACTTTACTATTTTCATTTTGTGTCTTGTGTCTCATGAGCCTTTCTTTTTTTCTAATCTCCCATCACTCCTACTTGGGTTTAATCTCTGTGTGTGTGTTGCAGTGTATAGCCACTTGTCAAACGCAACAGGTAAACCCAAGAAGAGGCTGAGTTTCCTGTCTGATTTGCATGAAAGACATCATTTGAGGTTGGAATTAGTAGAAATCTTTAAACACTACAAACTTCTGAGGGCCAGGGAACTGGGACTTTCAGACAGTGAACTTGGCAAGTGGATCAAAGCAATTTCATGTAGATCTCCAAGGGCATCCACAACCACTATGGCTTACATTGTTGTTTGAGACCTTCCAACTAGTTCCAACTCATAGTGACCCTATGGACAACAGAACAAAACACTGCCCAGTCCTGTGTCATCATTTCTCTCAATTGTTGTGTTTGAGACCACTGCTGCAGCCATCCTGGTTTTCTTCCAGTGAGCAATTCTTCTGCTTTACATAAGTGCACTTAAGAACTCTGGGGAGCCTGAAATGGAGGCAGAGATGATGACGTGGAGAGATGGAGTGGCTGGGGTCTTTAGACCCAGAAAGGGAGACAGGTTGTGTGCTGACGACTGTGGGGTGGGAGCCATGGGGGGCAGGCTTTTAGGATATACCCTTTGGTTGGTTGATGATGCATGGAGGGGATTGTAACCATGGCAATGAAACGATATACAATAGGATGAATGTAAAACTAATGTTCTCCCATGTAAATTATCACATAATTCACAATAAAACATTAAAAAAAAAGAACTTTGGGGACATATATGTCAATTGATGCCTTTTCATATCAAGATCATGATACATGCTAATTTTCAAATAGATTCATAACAACAAATAATTCACCTCTCTCCCCATTCACTCTGTAAGCTCATTGAAGACAGGAAGCATAGCATCTCAGACTTTTGAAGGATGAATAAATTTGAATGAGTAATGAGGATGTTCTCCTCAGCTTTTGAGTAACTCACAGCATCTTGCACAATACTGAGGCTGTAGCATGTATTTAGTAAAAGTGTATTCCTGATACGTTGCTCTAGATTCACTCACTGTCTCTCACTTCCATCCTCAGGCTCTGATGCCTTTTGAAGATGCCTATCTCAGAGGACTCCCACCTGACAGGCAGTTTGTTGGACTGTGGTAGCATGCATGTTGCTATGATGCTGAAAGCTATGCCACCGATATTCCAAATACTCTTAGGGTCATGCACGGTGGGCAAGGATCACCAGAGCTTCCAGACTAAGGAAAACTTGAAAGAAAGGCCTGGTAAATTCTTTCTAAACATTAGTCAATGGAAACTGTATGAATCACAATAGAATATGCTCTGATATAGGGCTGGAAGATACACCAGAAGGCACTCAAGATACATAGTGGCAGCAACAATGGACTTGAGTATATTAATGATCAGAGAGATGGCACAGGACTGGGTAACATTGTGTTCTATTACCTATGGGAGTACCATAAATTAGAGCCAAATAACATCAACAATTTAGCAGAGAAGATGATATATGGACCCATGGATTGCAATGAACCACATGCAGACACTGCCTAGACACTCCTGTGATTTAGACTCATTGTCAGCCTGGTCTTCTAGACACTATAAAACCTTCAGTGACTTTTCTCCAATATCAAGAAAATAGAATTTGGGTCCCAAGTCAGATTCAAAGAATTTGCACAAACACCAGACTGCAGTTCAGAAATGAAGAGACAATTGAACTTATTGAAATATATCCTTACAATGAAAAAAAAAATGATCCCTATCAGTAGGATTGAGCAAGCATTCTTGAATATTTGTCCTTGTTTGATATGCAACTACAGAGCACCAGTGCTGATGTGCCATGTGAATCACAGCCCCAATGCACCTTAACTGTGTTCATCATCAGGTATGGGATGCGCATTAGGTGCACATACCATGGGACTTTTTCCAAGACAGAACAGTTCCTGTCTTTCCCGCCCACTGCTCAATGCTTCTCCAAGGACCATATGCAGGTAAAGTAAAAAAGAAAGTCCTTACATTCTTAAATCCCCTGTAGAGAATCTGTAGCTCCTTCTTGGTAAACTTGCTCTGTGCTTCCAGAAGCTCAAGAGCCTCAGGCCGATGCCTGACGGTAGCCATTTCAAGTTCATCTTCCACACTGTCTGCGGAAGGAAACCAAAAAGTATCGTAAGAATAGTTGCTGTTTGAAGATGCTTATACACACTGCACAGGGAGACAGAATGACCTGTTTACAGTATCTCTGTGATATGTTCATAGAAGATAAGTCTCACATTGGCAATTATGGTCTTGAAAGTCCTCAGATTATATGGTATTAAGCCAAGATATAGATGTATATAAAATTGTCCTTGTCTATTAGACATTACAATTCTAACATACTTATAATTTATGAAAAGTACAAACAATCACCTTAGAACAATCATCTCAGAACACGAATCAAGCACTGGTTATACAATGGCACTGTAGTTTACTAATGAGTACAATCCTATGTATTGTAAGACAACAAGATAAGACTCTGCTTATGTTCTTGAGCAACTCAACTTACTGGGAGTCACAAACAAAGCAGTCAGATCACATACTGATAGGGATCAAGTAACTAATTCCCATAGGCACACACTGGATGAACTGGAACATAGGGAAACTTTTGGCAGAATTTGCATTGCTGTGTTGTTGTGGTTGATAAGCACTACTGAGTTGCTTCCAACTCATAGGAACCCTGCATAGGGTTCCTGACACTTAAAACATTTGTGGGAACTGAAAGCCTCATATTTCTCCCATGGAATGGCTTGTGGGCTAGAACCACTGACCTTGTGGTACACAATTAAGTGCTTATCTGACAGAGCCACTGTGATCTCTCTGCTTTGCTATAGACAAATAATAAAATATTATATTCTGTGAATTATATTTACACTGAAATTTCTCAAGTTTCCTTTATTTATAAAGAATTCTGTGTCCCTATGTTTCAGAAATGTGGTAAACTACACCTTACTTTAAGGACTCTGATGGTATGGTGGGTTACAAGTTGGGAGGATGTTGCTTGGTGCCATTGAGTTAGTACCGACTCATAGTGACCCTATGCACAGTAGAATGAAACACTGCCCAGTCCTGGGCCAACCTCACAACCATTACTATACCTGAGCCCATTGATGCTGCCACTGAGTCAATCCAATTTGTTGGTGGTCTTCCTCTTTTTCTCTGACCCTCCTCCTTACCAAACATGATATCTTACTCCAGGGGCTGGTCCCTCCTGACAATATGTCCAAAGTATGAGAGACAAAGTCTGACCATCCTGGCTTACAAGGAGCACTCTGGTTGCAATTCTTCTAAAATAGATTTGTTTGTTATTTTGGCAATCCACAGTACAGTCAATATTTTCCTCCAACACCATAACTTAAATGAATTAATTCTTCTATGGTCTTCCTTATTCACTGTGCAACTTTTGCATGTATATGAGCTTATTAAAAATACCATGGCTTGAGTCAGGTGCATCTTAGTCCTCAACACTTTTTGCTCTTCAACACTTTGAAGAGGTATTGTGCAACACGTTTGCCTAATGCAATATGTTGTTTGATTTCTTGACTGCTGCTTCCATGAGTGTTGATGGTTGATCCAAAAAGAATGAAGTCCTTGACAACTTCAGTCTTTTCTCTGTTGATAAGAATGTTGTGTTTTGGTCCAGTGGTGAGGATTTTAGTTTTTTTCCATTAAGATGCAACCTATACCAAAGGCTTTGGTCTTTGATCTTCATCAGTAAATATTTTAAGTCCTCTTCGCTTTCAACAAGCAAGGTTGCATTATCTGCATAACTCAGATTGTTAATGAGTCTTCCTCCAATCCCGATGCCACATGTTTCTTCATATAATCCACCTTCTTAGATGATTTGCTCAGCATACAGGTTGAATAAGTATGGTGAAAGAACAAAACCCTGGCACACATCTTTTCTAATTTTAAACCATTCCTATTTCCTTGTTCTGTCCAAACAACTGCCTCTTGGTCTACGCACATGTTCCTCATGAGCACAATTGAGTTTTCCATAATACTCATTATCTGTAATGTTGTCTCTAGCTTGTCATGATCCACAGAATTGAGGACCTTTGCATTGTCTATAAAGTACAGGTCAAGGACTTCATTCTTCTTGGATCAACTATCAACACTCGCGGAAGTAGCAGTCAAGAGATCAGACGACGTATTGCACTGGGCAAATCTGCTGCACAGGAACTTTTTAAAGTGTTGAAGAGTAGAGATGTCAGCTTGAGGACTAGGGTGCGCCTGACCCAGGCCATTGTGTTTTCAATAGCCTCATATGGATGCAAAAGCTGGACAGTGAATAAGGAGGATCGTAGAAGAATTGATGCCTTTGAGTTGTGGTGTTGGAGGAGAGTACTGAAAGTGCCATGGACTGCCAAAAGAACCAATAAATCTGTTTTGGAGGAAGTGCAGCCAGAGTGCTCCCTGGAGGCCAGGATGGCTAAACTTCATCTCTCCTACTTTGGACATATTGTCCGGAGGAAACAATCGCTGGAGAAGGATGTCATGCTGGGTAGGGTGGAGGGTCAGAGATAAAGAGGAAGACCCCCAATGAGATGGATCAGCCAGGTGGCATCATTGATGGACTCGGGTGTGGCAGCGGTAGTGAGGTTGGCCCAGGATCGGACATTGTTTCGTTCTGCTGTGCATGGGGTCGCTATGAGTCGGTTCCGACTCGATGGCACCTGACAACAACAACAACAAACATCTCTCTGGTATTTTCTGCTTTCAGCCAAGATCCATCTGATGTTAGCAATGATATCCTTCATTCCACATCCTTTTTTGAATTCGGCTTGAACCTTTGGAAGTTCTCTGTCAATGTATGGTTGCAGCCATTTTTGTCTTATGTTTAGTAAAACTTTACTCACATTGGATGTCAATGGTATTGTCTGATGATTTCCACATTCTGTTGGTCTGATAAGCAGTTTTGAATCCACCAGCTGCTCCGCAGGAGAAAGATGAAGCATACTGCTTCCATAACCTCAGAAACCTTATACAGGGTTGCTATGAATTGGAACCAACTTGGTGGCACATAACAATAACAACATACTTTACTTTTGGAGTAAAATATTGCTATAAAAGGTTTTGAGAAGTTGTATGGTACAGAATCTTGTTTAACTCATTCATCCCAATAGATTTCACATGTATTTGTCCATAGAATCTTTTGTTCCCTCAAAATAATATCTTTAACATCTGCACATTTGCTCTAGGATCATGCAGGACACAGTTTTGCAGGCTTTGAAGACATAAGCAGAGACTTCAAAGGTTCATGGAAAAATTCCATTTTTTCAATAACTTCTTAAAAGTCTCTCATATTTCTGGGCTTCTTGTAATAGGGCAATATGGAAGCCTAAGGAAATTCTCTCTACTGTATTCTAGTACACACCTCAGCCGAGGTACTCAGCAGTAACAAAAGCAGCCTGGTCCTCTCTGCCACCACAAATTTCCTCCAATTCTGTCACTTTCCTCTTGGTTACAGATTCCCGACTCAGAGTGAGACTAAAGAAAAACAGCTACTTCTTAACTTCTCTGGTAATAGGACCACTAAGATCCTTACTTTTACATCCCACAGGTCATTTGAAGATGTAGTCATTTTAGAAAAAAACCTCACACCACTTCTGATACTAATAATGCTGTCTTTCATTATCATCGGCACATACGTACTACTGTGTCTCACTTAAAGCATTGAAGGGCCAGAGCATTCACTTAGCAGGGAAAAGAAGGTAAGTGGGACTCTAATTTTGGCATGTCCTAATCACTGCCTTCAAAGACTTTACAAAAGACCAGTAATAGTTATGAAAAAAATACTTGAAAGGATGTATTTTGTCAAAATGAGTAACAGGAGATAAAAGCACACAATTGTTTAGCTATTTTATTATTATAATCATTCCTTGGAAGCAGTGATATGGAAAAGTTGCAGACTAGCAAGGGATGGATAAAAATAATAGAAAGGAATGTGAAAAGATGTGAAGGTCAGGAAAAAAACCTCTGAACTGACAAAGATAAAATTGATGAGAAAGGAAGTGGTTATGTATTTAAAGGATGTCGAAAGGGCTAAAAGTAGATGGGAATAAGGGTCCAGTAATTTTTGTCCTTTGATGATTCTGAACCAATATGCTAGTTGTACACAATGAGTCCTCAGATACACAGGACCAAGGAAGACAAAGCTCCATAAGTTTACTGTTAATGCAAATCATTGAATTGTTGTTAGGTGCTGTTGAGTTGCCTCTGACCCACAGATGCCCTATGCAGAACAGAATGACACGTTGTTCAGTCCTGCAGCAGTCTCACAATCGTTGCTACACTTGTGCTCACTGCTGCTGCCACTGTGCCAATCCATCTCACTGGGGGTCTTCCTCTATTTCAATGACCATCCACTTTACTTAACTTGATGTCCTTCTCCAGGAAATGGCCCCTCCTGATGATATGTCTGAAGTATGAGAGATGAAGTCTGGTCATCCTGGCTTACAAGGAGCATTCTGGCTGTACTTCTTCTAATACAGATTGGTTTAGTCTTCTGGCAATCCATGGTACTTTTAATATTCTTCTCCATACACTATAACTCAAATGCATTAATTCTTCTATATTCTTCCTTATTCATTGTCCAACTTTCACATGCATATGAGGCTATTGAAAGCATTATGGTTTGGGTCAGGCGCACCTTAGTCTTCAAACTGACATCTTTGAGTGAACTATGATGTAATTATTGCAGTTAGAAGCATAGAAATAAATGTCACAGAATAGACAGAGGTAAGACACAAAGGACTAGCAAATAGAGAGTGTTAAAAAGTCCAGATGTAAGTTTCTTTTGAATCACAGCACAATCATTCATCTGGAAATATCCCTCTTCCCCTTGCCCACCTGTGGATGATGTATATATTTTTCATGATCCAATTTATTACTATCATCTTCTTTAGAAAGCCTTCTGGATGATCCCATTATACAGAAATCCATCATGCTTTCTGTGAGAGTTCTTGCAGCCTACTTCTTATGTATCAACATGATCTGTTCATATTTGTGTCTTACCTATTTGCATATCCTTTGGACTTAATATATAGGCTTCTGAAATGCGGCACTGTGGGTTAATGTGCCAGACTGCAAAGCCATTTGAACTGCA